ACCAAGGCAGGACACCAGCCACAGGTGTGGCCACTGGGACTCACTGTCACCTGGCCTCTTGCTGTTGACATGGGCTTCGAGCATGCAACACAGCAACTAAAGAGAAAAAGTTGACTTAAAAACAAAGTGTCTTTGAAAAATAGTCAAAAGATGGACCTCCCTAGTGGCACAAGGGATCAAAGCACAGCACTGTGAACCTATCCACAGCCACTGCAGGAAAAGTTTGACCCCCAGTCAGGAAGGTGACCCACATGGCACCGCAGACCTCTCCTGTCTCACCCGCTGCTCCCCTCAGCAGTGTATTGCAGTCAGTCTGCCTGTTCTGCTCCTTATGCTGTCTCTGGTGAATCCTCTCTCTTACCTCTAGCACCTCTGGCCCCAGTTCTTACATGCATAAATAAGTCTTTAAAAAAAAAAAAACTAGTCAAAAGAAATCCAAGTGTTGAACAGTCTTCACCACCCTGAGAGATCTTAAGCACCGTCAGCGTGTAGATGTGGCCACACTGTCTTCCTTATTTGTCCAGTCACACTTGCTGAGGATTTATGTGTGAAGCACTGTCTGTGGTAGACTAATAATAAAATCTAATGGTTACCATGGAGAAGCTTCTGGTCTGGGAGGAGATGGCAGATACCTAGGAACACGTGTGAGGGAGACTCCCCAGGGGACCCACATTGGTGAAGGGTGGGAGGGAACAGTGAGGATGAACAGAGCGAGCAGCTCCTGGAGACTTGGAGCTAATTAAAAGTCTTTGTTCAAGGCTAGAGCAAGTGGAGTTTCTATCTCAGGCTGACGCATTCTTACGCCTCTCCTCCTAACACCCCAGGCTGGTTTTCAGAAGCAGACATGTCTTTTGTGCCCAGGTTGGAGGATAAATGCTGAGAAACCTATCCATTGACAGACATAGTGTTTACCAACGAGGACGGGTGGTTACTATCATTTTATTTTATTTTATTTTATTTTGAGGTTTATTTGTTTGTGCATACAGAACTGGGGTACAGGCCAGAGGTACAGGGATGATGAGAGGCTTCACCAGAGACAGAGTGGGGAGCAGAACAGGCAGATCTACGAAGTACACTGCTGAGGGGAGCAGCGGGCGGGTCAGGAGAGGTCTGCCACGCCATGTGGTCAACCTCCGGGGCAGGCTGGGATTGAACCCATGCGGAAGTGGCTTTAGCTTCTTAGTGCTGTGCTTTAACCCGCTGCGCCACCAGGGAGGGCACGACCATCATTTTAACAGCGCCCGTGTGCTTCACGAAGAAGGCCTTCGCAACTCGGAAAAATTAATAGATCCGGACTGACAGGAATCTCCATCAGACTTCAGAAGCAGACAGGAGAAGAGAGATTGATGTGATGAGTCCTCTCCGAATTCCCCAATTTTGGAACTCCTGAACACTCTGATGAACCTAGTGGTGGGATTAAAATTCCACTTACGCATTTTATAATACATTTTATTTTGACTGCTAATAACATCTGTCAGATGGACCTATCTCCAGGCCGGAGTCCTGTGAGTCAAATGCTGGCTTAATGCCAATTGTTTTCTGTCCCTATAGAACAGCACTTGCAAATCACTGCCTACGTTGTTTTATCACATCTAAAACTTGGGCTTGGCTGAAAATATGAAGTCCACGCAATGAATTAAAGACTTAAGTAAAAACTGTTAGATACTTAACAGCACCAAAATTTTCCATTACAAATCTGCTTTTACTCTTTCTTAATTTGAAGAAAAAAAAAAGTGCCTTGAGGGGAATTTGAATTTCCAAGCCTTTCAGATCAAAGATTTCTTCAGCTGTCTGAATTATAGGAATGTTGAAAAACAAAAACAAATCCCTTTCCTGCTATAAAGTCCTTGCCATGTCTTTGTCTTTATGTAACCCAAAACGTCTGAACTAAAGAATGAGGTGGGTGAGTTCTGTTCAAAACCTAAGAATTCATCAGAAATGAAGCCATCAATACTTTTGAAAGGATCGTTCTAATTAATCAGATCCATGAATAACTTTTGCTAAATTCTTATTTGATGACCCAGAAAATTGCTAAATAGCATTTAGAATTAAACAAATTATGACTAAGGGACACCAGAATGTTTTAAATTGCTTACGAAATGGATTCAAGGCTAAATCATAATAATCTGGGTATGGTGGTGGCGGCGTCCAGTATAATTCTCATCAGATTCCACACCCATCCTTGGCTAGAGAGATGTCGTTTGAACAGGACATTGGGCACTATTAGGAAACTGTTTACTTTAAAAGCTTTTGCAGAAAGCATCAACTTTTTACAAAGCAATCGTTTCTAGGCCTCAGCTTGCTGATGGTTTTGATAGAAGGCCTGATTCTTCAAGTGCCAGAAATAAACTGCTTTAAGCAGGAGGTACCATTAGCTGCCAATCATCTGGTAGACTAAGTAATCAGTTAATGATGACCCACGTGTAGAGGCCTCAGAATTTCAGCATTTCTAAAAGGAAACACTTTTTGCTTTGTCACCAGGGAGATGTCATTATGCTCATATTAATGGGAAAACGAGGTGGAAAATACAGTCCAAAGTACATGTCCTCGTTTCTTTAGGGGGGGCCGGGGGGAGCAGTGGCTTTGTATGTGCTAACATTTCAGACCTAAGGCACTTTTATATATTTAAGAGGTCATTTGTTTCCAATTTCCTCCCATGTTACCTCTTGAAAGGTTTTTTAATGTTTTCTTTTTCTAATTATTAAAAAGCAATGAACCCTAGAGAAAAATTGCAAGAGTAAAAAGTATAAATGTAAGTTTCTCAAATTCCACCATTTAGATTTGCTGCATGTCAGTTCACATTTTGTTGATTTTGCTCTGAGAATGTGTTTACATAATTGAGATCATTCTGCACAGAGAATTTTAATTTTTTCTTTAAAATAACCATGTTCTTGTGTTACTGGGTGTTTTGTAGCCTCAGAGATGCATATTATTCTCTAATGGGATGTGTGCCATGTAACCATTTTGGGTCATTCAAGCTACTTCCACTCTTTTACAGTCACCAATAATTTTCCACTTTGCATCTTTATATATTTTTCTTTTTTCAGTATTGGTCCATTAGACTTTAGACAGCAGGTCACAAAGAATCGGTTCACTCAGGCTTGGGGGAAAGAAAGAAAGAGAGAAAGCTTTTTAGCATAGCTAACCGCCTAGGGGTAGAACTGGTTTCAGGCAAGGCTGGGCTCTGCTGATTGAAGCCATCTTTCTGTCTCTTGCACAAGCTTCCCTCTGTGCTAATTTTCATCTCAGCCCTCCCCCTCTACCTCCTCCCAGAAGACAGCACTTTTCCCAATATTTTCAGCTGAAGTTCTGCTGAGACTCGTTAACGTAAATGAGATCAAACACCCACCTGAGTCAGTAGCTGGGGTCAGGGCAAGGAATGTTCTGGATTGCCTCCAGGACATTCCTGTTCCCTGCTTCATCTGATTCCCCCAGGACCCTTGCTCTACAAATGGAGTCCCTGCTGTGTCCTGAATCCGCCCACTGCCCTTCACCCTGGCTTACTGCAGCCTAAATTCTGCAGTATGGGCTCAGGACCCTCCATGAGTCACAGGGGCGCTGTTGTTCTGCTGTAGGGCCAGGAGACACAGGTGCAGGTTCCCGGCCTCCCTCCACGAGGACCTCTCGGCTGACACTTTGCTTGTCTCTCCCAGCACTCAGTAAATATTACATCAAGTGAGTTAATGACTGAGTGTCAGGTCAGGCCTGTACCTGGTCCCGGGGCCAGCCCGCCTTAAGGGCGAGATACTGGAGAGGACAGAATGGTGTGAGTCCCCAAAGAAAATGGGCAGTCACTCCCAAAACCAGCAGAGAGAGTGCTGACCTGAAAGGAACGACTGTGTCTATTACAGCTCCGTCAAACCAAATTCCCAGGAGTGGGTCGTCGAAGGGTATAGCTATTTTGAGGGTTTTTTTTTTTTTTTTTACTCCCTGTAAGAATTCTTGTAGTAGAATGAGCCTTTTTAAAAGTGGGTCACATCCTGCCCCTTTCCTCCGTAAAACGGACAGCTCTCCGCTGAACTGTGAGTACAAGACGCCTCCCCGGCCCCAGCCCAGAATGATCCAGTTGCAGCCTTATTTCTCTGCCTGCACAGCCACCAGCACTGGCCTTCTGTTAGGTTCTACCCTGGAACACACCCCAGGAGCCTTGGACTTTCTTTTCCTTCTGCCGGGAAGGTCCGTATTTCCGGTCTCCTCTTTCTTCTTCTGGCCTCAGTCTGACGTCAGTTCCTGGGATGTCCTCCTTGCCAACCCAGACCTGACGGTGCTCTCCTCCAGCCTCTCCGGTGAACTGGGGCATATCCTTTTTGCCATATTCACCGTCCATTCTGTTCATTGCTTACTCCCCCGCTCACCCCTGCAACACAAGCCCCATGAGGCCCCTTTCTCACTGTCCATTGCTGGGCCCTGGGAACCCCTAACTGGTGCCTGGAATATCCAAGCCCTTAAGCTTTTTGTTGGGAAAGAAAGAAGCCAGTTGCTCTTCAGCAGGGTTATAATGATCACGCCCACCAGCAGTAAGAGTGCTCATTTCACCTCATCTCTGGGTGAAGCAGCTTTCTTAGAACACAGCTCAAGAGAAGCATGGTCCTGCTGCTCACTGCATGGTCCTGGAGCAGCAACCGGCTGTCTTCTAGCAGCTACGCTGCCATGTGCAAAGAGACCTGGTTCCTTGGCTACAGCCAGTGGGCGTGAGAGCTTTCCCTACGGGAGCACAGATCGAATCTTCATCCTCTCATGTCAATGGAAAAAAATTATTTTGTTGAAAATGGATTCAAGGGAACTTCCTAAGAAGCTTACATTGAATAAAAATCAGTAAATAATCAGCTTGAGTATTTGGGGATGTGACAGTCACCATTTTTGTGCTTTCCCACCCCAAATTATCCAATTGTGGTATTCTGGTTTTACAGAACCCTCTCTAATGTGTTGGTGGTTCCTACAGTACATTCATTTTTTAAAGCACCATTACACTTTTTAAGAAGTTTTGCAAAAACCTGAGCTGATGCATAGAAAAAGTATTTAATGTCACGAACACCAAAGCACCTTTTATCAGGTAAAAAGTTCCTATGACATACATCGATGATAGTAAACAAATCTCCCTTTACCTGAGAAGAATTTCGGTTTAAATACAACATAATGAACTTCATGGGGTCATCATTTTAAGACAATCCTTGCAGCACCATTCAACTTGAAGAACATGATGAACTCCACAAAATAATGATGGTGGTCTTCAAAACACAATAGCCCACACAAAGTTTTCTAGTTCAAAAATAGCACCATTAGAGGACAAGAATGTTAAGTCCCTCAACAAGTGACTTACCAAAATTCATGCAAACTAAACTTGGTGTGATTGGTGTTTATAACAACCCTGTGATCTGGAGTGGGAAACAGAAGGCAAAAAAAAGCTACCACGCACACAAAGTAACTTTGCTCACACGTGCACACACACACACAGCCACACCCCCCCTCGTCAGGGAGTGCTCCTTGTTTGCTGAGAGCTGGGTCACCAGTCATCCACCTCAACCACGAAGGGCGTTTTCACATCTATCTTGCCACTGTTGGTGATGGTGCAGTCGGTGAGAGGGCGGTCATGTCCATCCGTTGCCTGAAGTTCTATGGAGTGGACCACTGTCTGGGGAGAAAGGAGGCGATGAGGCAAGCTAATTGTGGAAAACATAGTCAAGAAAGTTCTAAATCACAGGATCAATTTGCTCTAGACTTTTGTATTTCCATGTTGCTTTTTATTAACCTTTTATAGTCTAAGAAAAAAGAATAGGGTTTTTATTTGGTAAGTATCTAGGTCTAATGAAAGATATTTCTGCTCACTCTGATACCCCGTGTGGGAGTTCGCATGGAGGTTGGGTCAATTTCAACGTCACCCTATTACAGGTCTAGGCATCATAAAATGGGCCATAAAGCAGATTTAAGAGTCAACAGAGTAGTGAGTTTGCCCATTTTTAAGGCTGACTCAACCCATCAATCTGCAGGTTGACTAGTTACACTAATACTAGTATAACTGCACCCCCATGGTGAAAATGCCCCCTTTCTGCCTTGACAGCCTCACAAGCGCTTGTGTGTCACGCTGAAGGAGCGCAACTGGACAGTTCCCGGGAGCAAGCTAGCTTCTGATGGGCTTCCTAAGGCTCTGAGAAGGAAGTAGCGAGCCTCTGAGTGCCTTGCAGCCGGGGTCAACTGACCCAACCTCTGCCCGACTTGGGTTAATTAAAATCAAGAGACAGCATCCTTCTAAGGATACTGTATGTTTCTAATTATGTGTGGGGGCACTTTTTTCAAGTGCTTATTTAATGGTTAACATGGACATTCCAACATGTTGCATATTTTACCATGACTTTAAAATGCTTGCTCGTGGGCCCACTTGGGGAAGCTGTGACTGCAGGTCTGAAGGGAAGGCCAGACACTTGTGTTAACTGAGCAAGCTATTGATTTCTGAAGGACCAAGGGGTGGAATTCAGAAGATCCTGCCAGCTTCTTAAAACTCTATGAAACACAGGCTTTTCCTCAGAAAGTTTATGCCCGATAAGAGGTGTTTGGCTAAGGCCAGGCAACAGGACCCCCAGGATGGGAGGAAATCAGTGCTATCCATTAGGGCAAAGACACAGAAGACTACAAGAAATGCACGACCAGAAGAAGAAAATCCAAACACATACTCTTTACGCTTCTGACAGCTTGACACAACGCTGTATTCAAAAATATACACTGAATGATGAATGAGTTTACCTTTAAACGATATAGTGCCTGGTTAAGCTGTCCAAATCCCAGATGGGTTCAACATGTGCATCCCCACAGCTAGCTGATTTCAGAAGCAAAGTTTGGTAAGAGACCTAAGGAAAGTTGGTGTTCCTTTCTATGAAACAGTAGGTTTGTGCACAACTGAGTCTCACAGGATGGGGCGTGTCCTTTTCTGTGCCGGAAAGTGGAGGGACTACTCAGTGGTGCGTGTGCCTGACCGCTCTCTCCTCCCACTTGCTAATGAGTACTCCATCTTTGGCAGCTCAGTTTGCACATGTCCTTGCCTTGGAAGAGATGTTCTGAGTCATCTGCTCAGTACCTTGTCATTGCTGCTTGAATCAGAACAGCAGAGAGAAACACCCAGAGGAAGAAATGCAGAAGGTGAGGTTGGTTGGTTGATGGTTGGGTGAAGGTGGCAGAATAAGTCGTATGAAAACACAACAAAATTAAATATGGAGCAGAGCGAGGCAGCCTGGGTTGGGCCAGGGCTGGGCTAGGTTGACTTTTCAGGATTGAAAGAACTACTTCAGGTCGTTACTAAGCAGGAGAAATGTTGAGAGTAGAAGAGAATGCAAATTTTAAGAAGTGTTCCTATGGATTGTGAATGGGACCCCTCAGGTATTTGACTAGCATAAATTTGAATTTTCTTCATTGAATTTGGCTGTGAGTGTTTGAAAGTGATTTCCATTTGGACTGAACCATATGTTTTTAAAAACATTTTTAATAGAGGTGAGAAACAAATAGCGTAAATAACATAACCATCTTACCCATCTCTAAGTATACAGCTCAATATCATTAAGTATATGAATTATGTTGAGTAACTAATCTCTGGAACTTCTTCATCTTGCAAAAATGGAAGTCTATAGCCACGGTCCACAACTCCCATTTCCTCTACCCCCAGTGTCTGGCAACCACCATCCTGTTGTGTGTTTCTATGTATTTAGCTATTTAAGATCCCTCCTATAAGGTCTACTATAAATCTTTTTGTAACTGGCTTATTTCACTTAACATCCACAAGTTTCATCCCTGTGCCAACATCTCCCTCCTCTTCAAGGCTGTATAATATTCCACCACCACCACATACAGGGTCCTGCTTTTATTTAATGGAACTTTAAAAGTTTTCATTTACATCAAACAGTACACTTCTCCATGTTGGGTCCCCAGCCCCTGCTCCTAATAATTAAAAGCCATTCCTTATACTTTTCCTTCACCAATGAAGCAGTCAGTTAGCCTAGAATGATAAATCTCTAATAAGCACCTTTCAAAGTTAATATATCTCTGAAAGTATTGTGGTTATAAATATAAAACTTTGAATGAAAAAAAGATATAAAGTTACCATTCCATCAAGGACTCTTCCAAATACCACATGTTTGCCATCCAGCCAGGTGGGCTTGGTCAGGGTGATAAAGAACTGAGAGCCATTGGTGTCAGGCCCAGCATTGGCCATGCTGACCCACCCAATGCCATAATGTTTCAGTCTGAAGTTCTCATCTGGAAATGTCTCGCCATAAATGCTTATACCTAGGTGACACAAAAAGGAACCAGAGTCAAGCGATGTCCTAGAAAAGTGGTCTTCAAAGAAATACGTAAGGTTTTAGTAGAAAGTTACGAAAACACTAAGAGGTAGAGATGAGGAACAGGTGGACAGACATAGAGGGGTTAATGAGACGAGAACATGAACTTCTTAAAGGAAGCAGGGTCCAGGGGCTGAGGCAAATACAGAAAAAGAAGCCTCAAGCCAAGGGCTAAGTCTTCACCCAGCAGGTCAACAATCTCACCCTGCAATGAAAAGGAACTGAAGGGCAGAATGACATCAAAAAGCCAGATGGGAAGGTGGCTGAGCCACCCTCGTGGCTCAACCTGCTATGAAATCCGGTCACTCTAATCAGGACCTACCACTAGCCACGGGTAGATAAAGCTTAGTTCGTGACCACACTATGGAATAGGTATCCCCACTTCTGTTCTGCCGTGGGAAGCAGAGGGTTATGGGAGGTGAGAACAGTAGCGCATGCCTTGCACTGGCCCCCAGCACAGTCGCAGCTAGCCTGGAAGGCCGCAGGCAGCTGAGGGCCCAGCAGCTGAGGAGGGCGATGGCCAATGTGTCCAGTGCTGAGCACAACTCGAGGCAGGTGTGTATCACAGGGGGAGGAGCGCATGCTTTCCCCACAAATCGTCAACAGACGCCACTGAGCGCCTGTCATGCCCACTGTCTGCTCTTCTGCAGCTCCTTGACCATCAGCTGCCCACTCTAAAATCCTGGTTCCATCAGAAAGACCAGAAATAGATCTCAAAGGTAAGAGAGTTAGAGCGCGGTGTCAGTCACATAGGAAGTCTAGGTTAATTTTACTTATTAGCCTGACTCAGAGGTCCCAAACCGGGCACTACAGGTGGGAGCAAGTGTGCACACTTGCACATACACACCACACACAGGGAAGGCGGGGAGAGGAGAGAGGGAACAGCTGCATTCCTGCTGGACCCAGGGCAGGTGATGGGCTGCTCCGGTCCCAGAGGGAAAGCTTACAGAACAGGGGTACAGGCGAGAAACGGGAGGTGGGAGGGTTCACCAGAGACAGAGCGGGGAGCAGAACAGGCCGACTGACAAAGTACACTGCTGAGAGGAGCAGCGGGCAGGTCAGGAGAGGTCTGCTGTGCCGTGTGGGTCACCTCCGGGGCCGGGGATCGAACTCGCACTGAAGTGGCTGTGGCTCACTTGCAGTGCTGCGCTCTAACCTGCTGCGCCACTAGGGAGGGCCCAGGGAAGGGTTCTTAAGTGTAGGCTTTGGAGGAGAGCCAGCTCTGACAGCTGGGGTCACCTGCCTGAGCATCTTCAGTGTACCCCCATTAGTCCAAGTAACCTGAACAGATGTCTCTGCTGCATCCCACAGGGAATGCAGGACTGATGGGACCAGAACAGCCCATCACCTGCCCTGCATCCAGCAGGAATGCAGCTCTCTCCTCTCCCCGCCTTCCCCGTGTGTGGTGTGTATGTGCAAGTGGGCACATACCAAGGCGCCTGGCAAATCCAGGCATTTTGTTCTAGTAGCTCACTCTACTGAACACAGAGTTAGCAAGAGCACTTCAACATAGCCTGAGTGCTTCTTTCAAGTTAGAATTCAATAACCACCAAAACCAGAGTTAGCTGAACTGAAAGTCTTAAACCTGAAGTCAACTTACTTTAAATTTTTTTTTAATTGTTTTTGACACAGCACTGGCTTACAAACATTGCATGTGATTCCGAAATCACAACCCCCCTCCCAACTCTTGGGGTACATATTCCACACCACACTCACTGTATGGTTAGAGCGGTACTAAGTGTGTCCGTGAAATCACTACAGTTCTGGGGGCTCTTAGCCAGGGGTCTGGGGAGCTCGAATCCTCAAAACAACAACCTCAGGGAGATTTGTACTTTCTAGAATTTTAACTTTGTTTATAAAAAGGTCCATACTATAATTCAGCACCTTATCTACGCCTTAATTTTTTTGATTGTTGAAAACACTAATGATAACATGAAAGACTCCAAAGAGGGGCTGGAGCTGCCTGCCCTCCCGCACAGAACACCACGCTGGCTGACCCTCGAGCCTTCCTGCCCCAGGGGACCCATTTCACAGACGCCCAGGGTTCAGCGTTGGAGAGCCTACGCTGACTTCCCATGACAGACCTTGCTCTGTGCTATTACAGATCCACAGTGGAGCAATTTACGTCTAAATGCAAAATAATCTACTGATTAAATAGATCACCACGATGGAGCTATCTCCACCAAAGGAAGATCTTTGAAGGCGAGGGAGTCTCTCTCACCTCTACCTATTTTGATCGACATTCAACAGTCTTCCCACCAGTATTTTATAAAGGAGGCATGAAAAAGCAGGATATAAATCAAAGGAATTCAAACTATTTTGCCGCGTATTTCATGCACATTTCATTTCAGCAGATGGCCTCTACCTATTCAGATTTAATAGATGATGTGCTCAAGCCACTATCCTTCTTAAAGCATTCATTTGGAGGTCTTTATGATCTGGTTCCTTAACTCTGAAGCTCAATCTATTGGCTAAGTCTTTGGGATCAATTTGGGAAAGGAAACAGAAAGGGAAAGGAAAAGAATGAAGACAACAGCATTACCGCCCGTGCCGTCTCCATTGGTGAAGTCTCCTCCTTGAATCATGAAGTCTTTGATGACACGATGGAATTTGCTTCCTTTATATCCATATCCTTTCTAAAGAGATGATGTCAGCTGATGACACAAGCAGACAGAACCCATACCAAAAGATACACCCCAATGTTTACTTGAAAGGTCAGAATATCTAGAGGACTCGGTTAGGTCCCTGCAAGGATTTACTGGCAGATAGTTGTCAGCAGCTGATCAAAACATACATTAACACACATGGGAATAAAGAATTAACGTAAATAAATAAAAAGCGATTTTCCCCTTGGTGATTTTTTTCCCTCTCGATTTCTAGATGCCTAAAATACTGTGTCTGAAGAATACAGATTTTTTTTTAAGATTTATTTATTTATGCATACAGAACTGGGGTACAGGCCAGAGGTGCAGGAAGGGTGAGAGGATTCCCCAGAGACAAAGCAGGGAGCAGAACGGGCAGATTGACGAAGTACACTGCTGAGGGGAGCAGCGGGCGGGCGGGTCAGGAGAGGTCTGCCGCGCCATGTGGATCACCCCCGGGGCAGGGATTGAACTCAGGCGGAAGTGGCTTTAGCTTCTTAGTGCTGTGCTTTAACCTGCTGTGCCACCACAGAGGGCCCAGAATACATATTTTTATCAGAAAATATCTTAAGATGTCTCCAGTTCATCAGACCTACCAATTTAATACTAATTTTACTATAAGACATTGTTGTTTTTGGCTTCACAGAAGGAAGATCCAACTTTGTGTAGTGAAGGAGGTAAGTGGGAGCATACCTCTCCTGTTGCCAGGGCGATAAAATTGTCCACAGTTTTGGGCACAACTTTCCCAAAGAGACCAATCACAATTCTGCCAACATCTTTGTCTCCAATCCTTACATCAAAGAAGACCTGTAGGTGGTAAAAGGCAGAGCAGAAGATTGTAAATTGGATAATCCACATATGCAAGGTAAATGAAAGTTAAAATCTGAGAATTGATCCACATTCAACAGCCCTCCCACCAGTATTTTATAAAGGAGTCATGAAAAAGCAGGATATAAATCAAAAGAACTCAAACTATTTGGTCATATATTTCATTCACAAATATTCATTCAACAAACAGATAGGGAGCAGTATCTACAGAGAGGCACTCAGTACTGAGTATGAAGTTGGACGGTGTACAGTCAGAATCAGCCAGTAGTCTTCAAGGAGTCTCTCCCCACATCCTCTAGACAAACCGTTTCCCTGCTGTGTAGACAGAGGTTAGGTTCTGAATGGGGAGTGTTCTCAACTAAGATGCAGGAAAATGTTGGTGAGAAGGCAACCAGCAGACCATCCAGATTTTTTGTTTATCACTTCCAACAATGCCAATTTCCAGTAAGTTCCAGGACATGGGCTCGGACCACCCAAGACGGTGCCCACCAGGTAGTCGGCCCTTGAAATGGCTGTACTCACTTCCAAGCACAGCTTCATGTAAGGAACAGCCAACACTACACTCAACATCCTGACAAAACCATGTACTCTGTTCTAGATGCTGAAGTCAGTCATCACCTTCCCAGGGTACATGAGTAGAGTGTGTTTCTCTCAAGAACAAAAACACACCTGAACTTGAGAATGCAGCCCTTTGCTGCAGATAAACCCTAAGCGGATCGGGCTCTTTTTTATTTTTTATAACTGTTTCATCTGGAATGAAATCAAGTACATTTTGCTTCACCAATCATGCGCTCAGAGGACTGTAAGCCTGGACGCTTGAAAAGGCCGGTAAGTCGAAGGGCATTCTATTAGCGAGTTGAGATTATATGAACCAATTTACTGTTCGAATGGGTAAAAAACGACATTCAAAAGATAGCTTTAAAAAAAATATAAGAAGGGTTGTCAAGGCAGAAAGGATGTCTTACAGTTTAGAAAAATCATGAAGTAAAGACTGTCAAGCCCTCGTTCAAGACAAGAGCTTCTTTCAATACATCAGTACGTCTGTCACGGGGTGATGTGGTATTTAGTGTTCCATGTGGCATTTTGCAAATTTTACATGGCCCAAGCAGCAAAACATTGCATTCTTATTTATAGGGTGGAACTTGATTAAATGCCTTAAAGACTGTGCCTTGAGATGAGGTAGTACCCTAGTGCCCATTCTGTGTGGCTTCAGCAATGAGGAAGCAGTGCTGGGCAGAGAAACAGGGATGTGATCTTAAAAACACAGCAATAAAGGGGGGAGAGAGAGAGAAAAATAAAGGGGGAGAGAGAGAGAGAAAGAACAGGACTTGGGAGACACAGAGGTCCAGTTGGGTGGTAGCAGAGGAATGTAAGGGGGTGGGGTGGGGAGAGGCATTTAACTGGAGGGGGCAGGGGAGAAGAGGGACAGGGAAAGACTCAAACACAAACCAGTAGTGGTGTCTGCGTGCTTTACCTACTCGGCTAAAAGGTAAACCTCACTACACTCTAGGGGGACAGCAGGCGCTATTATCACCAAAGCAAGGGTTGGGGAGGTTACATGCTTCCCCAGCCAGGCTTAGGAGAGCCAAAATCTCAATCCAAGGCTGCATCCAGGTAGACTGTGATTGATTGCAATACGGTTCTCTCAGTCAGGCCAGGAATCCCTCAGGGCAGATGTTTCTACATTCCCTGGTGCCAGGCAGAATGTCTGCACAAGTGTGGGCTCAAAAAATCCTGAATAGTGCAAAACTGAGTAACACTGATGCCCAGGGCACACACTCACCTAGACAGAACGTGAAGCTGCACCCAAGGCAGCTGCCAGGCCAACCGCTCACCTGACACTCATCTCCAAATTGGCTTTGTGTCCCTGGGGGCAGGCCCCATACAGAACAAGCCCCACCCTCACAGAGCTTACAATCCAGCACATCAGAAGTAACTATAATATATTGGAAGCTGGGTTTAATGGGAAGAGCCATACAGGAGAAATGTCATGGGAAGAAGTAGTGATTATCTGTGTGGATCAGGGTGGGCTTCCTGGAAGAGGTGGTACTTTGTGGTGCCACTTAAGGAGTGGGCACCTCAGTGTCTCCTTTTATCCCTCACAGTTGTCCTTGAAAGTTACTTGAAAGTCTTGGGAGGGGGTTATGGGGAGAGGGAAGAAACACACGTTGGCTCCAACCCTGGTGTGGTTTCTGTTTCCAGAGTGACTGAAATGTCTCAAGTCCGGCTGCACCACCAACTGGCCATGGAAACTGAGGCAAGCGGATGAAACTCAACTCCTGGTCTTCATCTCCAGGGTAAGTAAGACAGCAGATAACACGAACAACCTGCCTCAATCAGGAACTCAGAGCGGGGCTGAGCATTTCCTTGCTATATCGCATCTAATTTGCCGAACCCTGGCATACATCTACCTGGCGGGGAGCTGCCATTCCACCTTGATTTACAGAGGATGAAAGGGAGCATCAGGTGTTACACCACTTGACCCTGGTCACCCGCCCTAGCCTATTAACCACTCCGTGCTTTAGAAAGTGCCAGCAAGCTGACAGCTGAGTGTAGCTGGAAAATGGCAGAGTAGTTAATATACCCTGGGAGCCTGAAGGGCTCCACTGGATGGTACAGGGCTGCAGAGGCCACTTTGTCGAATTAGGACTGCAAGGAGCCAGAAGCCCAGCTGAGCCTCCACATCTGGACAGAAGGCGGAGTCTGTCCTGCAGCAAGACTCAGGACAAGGTTAGAACTCTTCACAGGTCTGGGAGGTGGGGGGCAGAGGGAGCACCCCACACTTCTCTACAGATTCTTATTTGTAAATGAAATCCAAGGTAAAGACTACAAGGGAAAACTATACACCAGAGTAAAGCCAATTCATCCACTCTTCTATCATCAAAGAAATCGTTCTTAATGTCTCCTCTGTCCTACAGTTAGGTGTTTAAAAGAGATCACTGAACAGTAACTCAACAGTTAAGCCTGCAGAAGACTGATCTGCACAATTAGCTTTTAGAACGGAAGGGTACATTGGGGGGGTGTTAAGTGGGGGTACATTGGGGGGGGTGTTAAGTGAGCACTCCAAGCACAATGGCAGGAAAAGACTCTCCTCACCGACAGCACCCTGGGCAGGACCAGATGTTTCAGGTCTCCCCGCCTACAGCTGCCTCTCCTTGGCTCCCTCTTCTCCTGGCCCTGGCTTCACACCCCAAGACTTGTTCTCCTCCAGAAGGTAAGTTCAAAAGTTCCTCCGGGGAAACGTTCCAAATATTGCGGGTGATGCTTTCACACTACAAAACTCTTCACTGCTTATCTGGAGCTCACAGCTACCTGGGTGTTTTATCTCCCTCTCCTTCACACTTTTCTCTAAACTGTCAGCCAGCCCTATCAGTTATACCTCCAGAATCTATTCCAAGTGGTCTCCTTGCTCCCCATTTCCACAAAGACCAATAATCCAAGCCACCACCATCTGGACCTGGGCGTGGCTCCTTGAGTGACCTCCCGTTCACTTCCCACTGGCCTCAGTACCCCTTAAAAGTCTGAATGAGATCATATCATTCCCATGCTTGAAACTGTAGTGGCCCTCAGATTAAGAGAAACTGCCTCAAAAAAGGCCCACACTGCCTGATGCGGTTGCTCTCCCCTCCAACCTCATCTCAGGCCCCCCCTTTTGCATCACTGGGTCTCCCTATTCTCCGTGATCACAGCAGGATGGCGAACCTCTTTGGAGGTCTTTACACACACTGGTCCCTTGCTGACATCTTTGCCCTGCTCGTTCCTTCCAGGGTGTGCAAATGCCACCCGATCCATAGCAAGGGTTATTTCTTGGATCATTTCACTGTGGATGAATTTGGCTGGTATGACCCTATCCTGACTCAAATAGAATCTGCAGGCTGAAAGAATGCTCCCCCCTCCCCGCCCCCACCACCCCCAACACACAGACACAGAGCTCCTTGGCCTTTAGAAACTATTTTCCCCAATTAGTTCAGTGCTTGAAGTTTTTTCAGTCAGTCAGGTTAATTTTATCACACTCTGGGCGAGGTCCTTCTGGTTACTCCTAAACTACAAAAGGGATGTAGGCTTGAACCTGGCCGCTCTCCAGCCCACTGCCAGCCCCTTCCTGGCTCCTGCATTCTGAGCATCTGATCTGCAGTAGGGGACTGAAGCCTTCTAGTTCAACACTATCATTTTCCACTGGCAACCCCCAAACTGCCCGTTAAGACCGCTTACAGCTGCCCCTCCTTTCAGAGTCCACGTAGGGCTGCGTGTGGGTTTTTCCAGAAGTGATGATCATGGCACCAAATCATACATCTCCCAGTCCCTTCCAACCTTGGCTAAGGAAACATGCTGGAAACAGTGTTGAAGCTGGAAAAGCGCCGTCCATGACAGCCGAGATTAAAAGCCAGGGTACCGGCTGGGCCTCGCGAGCACCTCCTTAAGCCAGGGGGCTGCCCCCCCCTTTCACCCTCCACCCCCCGCCCAACTCTAGAAGCGCACCTCTCCCGTGTTTGTCTAACAGAGGCCGAGGAGCCCAACCTCTCGCGGCCCCTCCGGGCGTGGGTGACCTGGCCCGGCGCCCCGCAACCACAGCCCCGGGCCGGGGCGTCGGCCCCGCGCGCGCCTCCCGCTTTCTTCCTGCGGCTGCACGGAGTCCCGGCCGAGCCGAAGGAAGTCCTCGGGCCGGCTCCTTCCTGGAGAACGGGCTCCCGGTTCCGGAAGCTTCTCCAGCACCGGGGTCGATGCCTCAGGCCCACTGACCCCGGGAACGGCCCGGGCGGCCCGCGGCAGACTCCGCCCAGCTCCCACGCTGTCTCCCCGGGGCGCGACCCCGCACCCCCGAGCGCTCGCCCCCTCCCACCTCGGCCCGCGGCCGCCCCCCGTCCTCGGAGGCCGGGGAGACGCCTCTCGGCCCCTCTCGCGGAGGTCCCAGTCCCCAAAGCACCACGTCCCCAAAGCGCCCCGACCCTTGGTCAGCGGGCGTGGGGGGCCCCAGCCCGCGGTCCGGTCACCTTGGCCGTCACCGACGGGCCTCGCTTGCGGACGCCCGAGGCCCCAGAAGAAGACGCGAGCGCGCCGAACCCCACGAACAGCACCAGAGGTAACAGCAGCCGGGGGCCCGGGCCCATGGTGAGCGGCTGCCGGGCGGGCGTCGGCTCGGGAGCGACCGCAGGCTCCGGGACGCTGGCGGGACTCTTGGAGGCTGCGCCTGCGCGCTCCCGCTCCCCGTTTGGGGGGGCGGGGTGCGGCTGGGGTTGGGTTGGGAGGCTGGGACTGGGCCGGAACCCCGAGGGCTGAGGAGCGCGGCGAAGCGAGAACTCGAGAGGCGCGCGGCGGTCTGATTGCGCTGCTCGCGGCCAGGGCGCGGGGCGCCCCAGAAGTGCGGCGGGGGCCCCCCAAAGTGGGTGGCCCCTGGGCGCTCTGTGGAAGGGTCTCCAGGAACCTGCGAGTTCGCCACGGATTAAGAGTTAAGAACTCTGGAGCTCCGGAATCTGCCTGACAACTTGCACGCAGCCGCAGCGGGGCGGGGACACTTCTGAGGGGTCCCGGAGTTGGCCGAAGCCGCCTCCGGAGTAGCCCCGCGGGGCCTTCCAGCTGCCAGTGCCTGGTCACATCTTCTAGCTAAATTCTGACGGCCCTCGGAACTTAGGGGATCCCGCCGTGGGTGGACCAGATTGCACTGGTGAATGACCTGTCGTTAAGATTCCAGTTGACAGTGCTTACAATTTTTCCAAATTTCAGAGCAATGTTTAGGAAGATAATTTAATGCCATCGGGAAATGTTCACTACACTTTTAAATGGAAAACTCAGCTTGCAAACTTAAGGAGAAACTCTGATCGCAACTGTGAAAATAAATATGTAAAGACATTTTTTAAATGGAAAGAAAGGCACCCAAACATTTACAGTAGCTATGGGATAGAATTGTGCATTTTTGTTTTCTCTGTAATTTTCTGACTTTTCAGATGCTGTACAATGACAATTATTTTGTAATCAGGAAAACGTCTTAAAACTCAATGCTTTTTGAATTAGGACTTCAAAGGAACATTTTTAGGTACGAGTTGTAATTCCAAAAATTAACTGTAAATTATAATAGTGTTCTCTTGATTTTTTCCTAGGGGCTGATTCATGCCTTTGAAGCCAGGGTTTCCCTTAGAGAAGCAGATAGGATTCCTGTCTGTAACTAAGTGCAGATCAGAAGTGACTTTGGAACTATTCATTTTATATAAAAGGAATAACTGCTACTTTTGAGGGTAGGAAGAAGGATTCACAATTATTTTTGATACTTCCTTTAGGTGAAGGATCTAATTTTCTTCACTCCCACCCCCAACAAAGAGTCCTCCTTTTATTTTTTGAATTATTTATTTATGTTATTCATTTTCTTTACAATGTTTGCATTCTTTTCTCAGGTATAGTCTCCATAGAATCTCCACCACCAATTCACCCATGCACCATTGCCATAGTCTCTTGTGTTCTTAGAGTTCTCCTTTCGTTGCAAGGTAAAGGCATCAGATACTTATTCTGCTTAGTTAATCGTGTTTTTTTTTATACAGGTATGTATATATTAGTATATGTCTGTGTGTGTTATATTTAAATACAGATACACATATACATTCATTACTTTATATAGACAAATATGCATAATTCATTACTGTAACTGGTTTTGGTTCTGCTCTAAGAGTAAAATGCTACCAGAGCAGGGAGCTTGTCTATATTCATTCCTTCTTATGATCCAGATCTAGTCCAACCCTTAGTATAAAGTGTTTTTTAAAAAGATTTATTTATTTATGCTTAGAGAAGTGGGTGCAGGCCGGAGGTGCAGGAGTAGTGAGAGGACTCACCAGAGACATAGTGGGGAGCAGAGCAGGCAGATTGACAAAATACACTGCTGAGGGGCACTGTGGGGGAGACAGGAGAGGTCTGCTGTGCCATGTGGGTCAGCTCCCTGGCCAGGAATCAAACTTGTGCTGAAGCAGCTGTGGCTAGCTTTGCAGTGTTGCGCCACCAGAGAGGACCCTGAAGTGACTTCTTAATAAATATTTGTTAAAAGAATGAATGTATCTAAAAAACTTTTGAAATCTCTTTATTGGGAAGATAAAAATAAACATGCACAAAAATAAACACAAAATGTCAACATACAGATCCACTGAATTGCTATGAAGCAAACACCACTAAAACACTTCCCAAGAAATAAAATATTCACTAGCTCTCTGGAAACTCCTCTTGTACCCACCCCCAATTCTAATACTTTCTTTTTCCCAAATTAACCACAATCCTAAACTCTCACATTATGGTTAGTTTTAACTTTATATGAGTGAAATTACAGCATGCATTTATTTTTTTTAAAGATTTATTTATTTGTGCATACAGAAATGGGGTGCAGGCCAGAGGCTCAGGGGCGGTGAGAGGCCTCACCAGAGACAGAGTGGAAACAGAACAGGCAGATCGACAAAGTACACTGCTGAGGGGAGCAGTGGGCGGGTCAGGAGAGGTCTGCCGCGCCATGTGGGTCACCTCCAGGGTGGCGATCAAACTCATGCTGAAGTTGCTTCAGCTTCTTAGTGCTGTGCTTTAACCCACTGGGCCACCAGGGAGGGCCCTGATATCTACTTTTATAAGTGATGACAGCCTGAAGTTTTTCTTTCTTGGAATTTCCCATCAGTTTTTATATCAGAGTTATTCTGGGCCCTTTGCATGAGTTGGCAAATGTTAACTCTCTTTCCTGAACTTTGAAGTGATTTATGAAAGATGTTATTTCTTCCTTGACTCTTTCTTAGAAACCCCTGGGGAGTTTTCTTATTATAAAGTTTTAAGCTATAAATTTAACTTTTGAAATAAATACGTAAAGGTTTATTAGATTTTTATCAGTTTTTGCATGTGGTGTTTTTTAGGAATGTGTCCACTTCATTAATATTTTAAAATTTGTTAATATTAACTTATTGAAGCTATTTTATATGTTTATAAGTTTGCAGGACTTTCTTTAAATTTAATGTAGCTATTTTTTTAACCTCTTGAGATAAGTGTTTATCTCACTGATTTTTTTTATCTTGTCTTATATTATTCTATGAGCTGTTAAAATAATAAAATTCCCCTCAGAAGCACAACTTTTGATACTTCCCACAAGTTTTGATATATGTTATTTTCATTATCATTCAGTTAATTTTTTTTCCATTTTCCACTTTTTTGACTCATGATTTATTGAGTGTATAGCACTTTATTCTGAAAGCATGGATTTAAAGAAAATGTAATAGTGATTTCTAACTTTGTTGTATTGTGAAAGAACAGACTCTGTATTATCTCATTCTTTTGAAATAATGTAGAGACTGCCTTCTGATAGAGAATTTAATGGATTAAAAAAAATAACTATTTCCGGGGCCCTCCCTGGTGGTGCAGCGGGTTAAAGCGAAGCACTAAGAAGTTAAAGCTACTTCTTCAGCATGAGTTCTATCCCCACTGCGGAGGTGACCACATGGCGCGGCAGACCTCTCCTGACCCACCCGCTGCTCTCTTTAGCAGTGTACTTCGTCAATCTGCCTGTTCTGCTCCCCACTCTGTCTCTGGTGAATCCTCTCACCACCCCTGAGCCTCTGGCCTGTACCCCAGTTCTGTATGCATAAATACATTTTAAAAAATCTTAAAAAAAAACTGTTTCCTGTGTTCTGTTCTTGTTGAAAATTCCCATGATATCAAGTTCATCAATCTTAAATTATCCTTACAGTCTTTTTACTTTCTTGTTGTAAGAGTTAATAAGAAAAAGCATCTTAAAGTTGTTCTTATGTCTACATATGTCTACATATTAACTGTTCTTCATTGTAGGCCTGTGAATTTTTTTTCTATGTTTTGAGTAATATTACTGATTTCAAATATGTCTGATATTATTTTTTGATTAATTGAATTTTTGTTATTATGAGGTATCCTTTTCTTTCTCTAGAAATGCCTTTTACTTTAAAGTCTGATATTACTATAACTTACCATCTTTCTTTGGATAGTGAATGCTTGGTTTCTCTTTATTTACAACTTTACTTTCAATGTTTCTGTCTTTATATTTGAATAAGTCCCTGTAAATTTCAAAACTTGGTTTTTAAATAAAGGTTAATCATCTTCATCATCAATAAAATTTCACCTCTTTACATTTATATTCACTGACCTGTTTGCATTTAAATATAACATCTGGATATTTTGTTTCTATTGCCATCCTGTTTTATGTTCCTCCTCTCTTTTCTAATTTGATGTAATAGATGTTATTTTCTCTATTCTTCCACTACTCAGATAATAGTACACAATCTCTGATTATGCTTTCGATAGTTATACTACAGATGATAACATCCATTCTTGATTTTTGAAAACCTGATGTTGCCTGTTACCTTAATTGTCCTTCTGGATAATATAAGAACCTCAGGACATGTAACCCCCATTTTCCCTCTAGATGTTCACACAGACCCCCTTCATGACCACCCCCAACACATGTGGATTATTTCAAGCTGAAATCATTTGAGGCACCCAAATCTGTTGAGATGCATTTACCACTTCCTTAACTACCAAGAAGAATGAAAATTAGTTGTCAGAACTGAGGCTACTGCAAGAGTAGCCTAGCTGAGAACCAAAAAGGTAGAGCACACATCTAATTTCAGAGCAATAACTCCTTACCACATCTTTCACCATCTTATCAAGGGAGTCCCCTCCTCTCTCCTGAAAACCCCAAACCCCTCACCCATACCTTAGCTCAGCATATGTTGACTCATCGTCATTGGAATCTGCATGTCTATGTAGTTTATTAATTTTTTTCTCTTATTTATCTTAATGTTGTTTCTCAACCAGCTGAAGAGTAACACAGAGGAACAGGGACACTTCCTCCTGTTTGGAGACTTTATTTGCTTCACACGTCTCACTCTGACCCTGACAACAATCACAGCTCCTGACAGTGGTCTGCTCACGGGTGAGGATTCGAACCATTTCCGCATCCTGAATCTCTGTCTGGGATGACCTAGTGGCAGTGAGGGTGGTGAGGCTTTTTTCTCTTGAAAATTAAAATTATCAGGAGAAAAAACTGGGATCTGCTATTTTCCTCCCAGGGACAAAGATAGGCTCTTTCTTTTCATCATCTCTGCCTTTCATTCTATTTGTCAAAATGGAAAGGATAGAGTAAAATATATAGCTGTTTTCTTTCTTTCTTTCTTTTATTTTTAAAATTTATTTATTTATTCAGAACTGGGG